ACTCTTATTAATGACTTGATCGTCCAAAGTCACAATCCCCTCACTAGGACTATTACTACTAAAATTACACTCCATATATTCCGTTTTAGATCTACTCAAGCGAAAACCTTTAGACTCTAAGGTTGACCTCCATAATTCAAGTTTACCTTCAACTCCCTCTCTAGTCTTATCAACTTGAAAGAGGAAAAAACTAAAAGCCAAACTTACACAAGTAAATGGAAAACTTCAGCCAAGAAAAAGGCCAAAAAACGAAAGCCACGAGAACCATGACTCAGATATATTCACATAAACATTCTGATGTAGGATCTCACGGTAGAAGACACAAGCAAACAGGAATTAATGAAATAGTAAAAACTTGCAAAGTAGTTGCAGAGCTTGATTTGTATTAAACTGTAAAAACTATTGCATACCTTTTGCTTCTTCTTCCCTGAGCTTAATAGAAGAAGTATTCTAAAGCAGTAAAATAACAAAAAGGTATAAAATATGCTGTATAACTAGAAATAGTACTAAGAGTAGCTCCACTACTAACTAACTAAAGCAGCTCTATGATAAGATGTCCGCCCGTATGTGTTTGTTATACTGTGCCGGTCTTATATCTCCGCATCACATTCTGCTCAGAAAACAAGCACGAACAGTTCCCTGGTTGCCCGAAGATCATCCAAGGGGAGGAGTAATTATTACGTCCAGAGAAAAAACTGAAAATCCGGATGTATACTGAGCAATACAGAGTTTCAGGTGACGTGACGCGTGATTATTGGTCTCTAGACGTGTCAGGTGACCTGACGTAATAATTGCTCCAAAAGGAGAGGTCTGATTTGAAAGAAATAATCATCGTTCATGGCAGGCCAAAATCCCTCCAAACCAATAGAAATAGACTTAGAAGCATAGCTGAATCATGCAAAACCCCATATTTCACAAAGTTTGACTTAAAGGCAATTAAGGCACACCAGCAGAAAAAGCATAACAGAGACATTATATCTTCAACAGCTCGTTTAGACAGTCCCCTTCTTGATTTTGAGGCAAATAGTAGAAGAATTTCCAGCTAAATCTCCAAACTTCCCTCCAAATACAATAAATAGTGCAGCAAGTAATAAGCAAATAAATGTTCTTAGCACTAGCAACATAGCAAACTAATTCACCCACCACATCGAAAATCTGAAACAAATTGAGCCGCATTAAATGGTTTTTAATCCCAGGAATGGACTAGGAAATAACAGAGAAACAGTAGGACTTTCAGGGAAAGAATGGCATAGGGAGCACATATTATCTACTGGAATTTTCCACTTCAATAAACATCTGCAGTTTTGCCTTAAATGGCCTAAATGTCTCAAAAAAACATCTGCAATTTTCAACCCTCCAGAAATAGTCATCCACACATAAACAGAATATCTCAAGAAGGCATAAAACTTATGCCAGACAAATTTGTGGCAATTACATTCCGTATCATCTCTATAAAATTCTTTTTTGGGACATTTAGGCCATTTAAGGCAAACTCACACACACAACGCATACACATGGACTCGAACCTTGGACCTTTTAGTTGGAAGCCTAAGCTTTCAACCAATAGGCCAAGGAGAGTTGTGTATCTCTATAAAATTCCAATAGGTAAGCTTTAAAACTATCCCAAGCAGAAGTATTCCAAATCAAGCTCCTGTAAGAAGCATTAATAATGGGGATAGAGGAAATAATATCAGAGATTTGATTATGAGTTGCAGTAGGAAGAATCCAGCCATTTTTAGCAATAAGAAAAGAAAAGGGAGAGTTAATGGGGAAACTATTAAAAATAGAGTGAGAAAACGGAGAAGCAGATAGGCATGCCCCATCACACCGATGATCCCAATGAAGAGAAATATAGCTAAAAGAGGCCTCAAAAGAGAATTTATGCTTTACTCTTCCAGCTGTATTGCATATAATTTTCCAAAAGGGAGATGCATTAAGTGGAGGAGGTTTCCAATGGGAAATATACTTGGCAGATAGTCAAACATAAGTGGAGAGGCAAATTATTAGGTCCGGTCATCACACTTATTTCTAGGTATGGACATCCAATAAAAACTTGCCACATGGACTGCGCTTTGATTGTGCTTTGACTGCGCTTTAGGTGTGTTTTGACTGTGCTTTTTTACCTACGCTTTACCTGCACTTACCTACGCTTTACCTGCATTTTTTTTAGTGAAAGTGCAGTCCACGTGGCAAATTTTTAGTGGATATCTGGACCTATTTCTAGGTCCGGAGACCGGACGTAATAATTGCCAAGTGGAGATGGGCTATTATAATCACAGTAAACCAACAATGGAAGACAATGCCAAACCAATCGTAGAGAATGACAGGTCTAAAAAAAAAACAACAAAGCCAACAAATAGTAAGCACTATGACACAAACGCTCATTCACGGTTATACAAATGAAACACACTCTCGTTATGATATAAACAAGAACACTACTTAATAAATCCTTAACAAATCTCCAATGTCTGAATTCATGAAACATCTGTATTGTAAACATAATGTTGTTTACAGTGGCAAAGATAATCATAATTTTCATAGTTACGAACAATTACTAGTGCAATGTGTTGAATTAGGCCCCACTAAATACCATCTTTTAGGCATCCTCGAAGAACCTTCTCATGACGCAAAATTTAAAGCAAGAAGCCATCATTAGTATCATTTTGCAACCGTTGTCCCAGAGGCATCAATTGCCACTTTGGAAGACTTTCCTTACAAAGATCATGGAAACACAAGTCATGCAATTGCTGTGGAAGCAATAGAACATGAAAAATAGGGTGAATGCAAACAGAACAAGGATAACAGTAAAGCTTTACCGGTAATATTCAAAGGAGTGAAAACTACTTTTGTCTATCATCCCCCCTTCCTATATGAGCAACTTCAGTTTCTAAGAAAAGGTGCAACAAGAGAAAAAAAGGTAAATGTACTATAGTACTATAATTAGCTATAGAAGTAGTGGAAGCTATGCTAAATAACGGAAAAAGGTATCACTAAGGTTGTAGTGGCCATGCGGAATATTGTAGGCAAAGGAATTCCACATCAATCCTCCTCCACTTCAGAAGAATTTGTGTCTGATGAATTGACTTCAGTGACTGCAGAATAAGCTGGATAGTAGCGGCTAATATCGGTCATATTGAACGTAGCAGATGTCAAAATGTTGGGCAGCAGGTCCACCACAGGCGTTTTCGCTGATCTGTGCTTAATGGCGATTGGACCAAGCGTTATAGAACTAAGCTTGGAATAAGCACCTGTGGGAAGGCGCTCTTTTCTGAATCGCACCATAACCAGTTCCCCTGGTTGAAAGACTTTTGCTCGGCGATGTTCATCAGCCTTCTGCTTGTAGGATTCATTAGAAGCTTGTAGAGTCTTGTGAACATTCTCTAGCATGACTTTGAAATCCTCTGTGAGCTTGGTGGCCGCCGGGTTGTGACACTTTTGAAGGACGGCAATGTCTACAATATGATTAGGCGGCTTAGTATAGACAATATTAAAAGGGCACATACGTGTGGATTGATTCGGCATAGTATAAGCAAACTCGGCTTGGCTCAAAATTTCATCCCACTTCTTCGGATTATCTTGCACCAAACATCGGAGCATGTTGCCAAGAGTGCGATTGACTACTTCCGTCTGACCATCGGTCTGTGGATGGTAGGCGGAGCCTAACTTGATCTCAGTTTATAGTTGCTTCCAAAGCTCCCTCTAGAAGTGGATAACAAACTTTACATCTCGATCGGAGGTGATGCTTCGTGGTAACCCGTGGAGTCGTATAATTTCCCTAAAAAATAAACGAGCAACACCGAGAGCGTCAGACATCTTCTTATAGGCTATGAAATGAGCCATCTTCGAAAACCTATCAACCACAACCATGATAGAATCGACTCCTTTCTTTGTATGTGGCAAACCCAGTATGAAATCCATGTTGAGATCCTCCCAAATAGAGACTTGAATAAGTAAAGGACTATAGAATCCGGTATTCTGACTACTCCATTTATATAACTGGCTTACGAGACAACGTTGCACGTATTTTGTAACATCCTTGCCCGGGTGAGGCCAAAAAAAAATGTGCTTTCATTTGTTCTATAGTTTTCTCCCTACCCAAATGAGCTGCAAGTCCTCCGGCATGCATTTCGGTGATTAGTTGTAGGCGAACTAATGAGTTCGGAATGCATAATGAATTTCTTTTAAACAGGAACCCGTGCCTAAGTGTGTAGTCTCCGAATGGTTGTCCAGCGAGCACCCTATAGAGGTGCAGTAGAGGTCTTTCAAATTTTCCATCCCAGTTATTTCGGTCTGTAGTTGTGTTAACAATGCGGAGCGTCGGCTCAAAGCGTCGGCGACTCGGTTCTGCTGTCCCGACTTATGTTTGAGTATAAAGCTAAATTTATGCAAAAAAAACAACCCACCTTGCATGCATTCGATTGATGTTCTTTTGAGTATTTAAAAACTGCAATGCTTGATGATCACTACACAAAATAAAATCATGATGATCGATCCCAGTCTTATTGAATTTCTCTCATCGAGACGCTCATTTTGGCTATAAGCACAAAAAATTCAAAGATTGTTTGTTTAATCATATATTATTTATAAGGTTTGAATTATGCTTCAAGTTATTAATCTAAGCTCATTTAGACTTAATATCATGAAACTTTTGATGTCATTGGACTCATCTTATCAAAAGGTTCATTTCAATTAAAAATTTATTAAAATCAGAGTTTAGATAGTTTTAAATTTAATAATTAAAGTTTCAAATTCAAATTATAAGATTTATATTACATGCCATATATTTCATCATTTATACTTTAATAAAGAAAATTTATCTGTTGAGTTTAAATGGCAAACTTATTTATTATTTTTCTCATTGATTAGTGGACCATCAGAATTTGAGCAAATTGTTTAGCAATAGTTATTTTATTAATTTAGTATTTATATTTATTTTTATTCTTGTGCTAGGTTATGAATCAGTTATTATAGATATATTTGATTATTTTTCTCTTTTTAATAATTGTTTATTAGTTTATCTTTGATATTCGATAATCTATTAATTCAATAAAATTTCATTTAATATATATTTTTATTATATATCTTCATTTATATGTGTTTATATATAATGCAAATCAACTTTTTTTTATTTAATTTTTTTAATGCAAAACAGCTTATGTTTATTCTAGTTCTGGCGATTTCTCTAATAAATTGCAGTCATATATTGCCTTATAGATTATGGGTGTGATATTTTGATTAAATTATTTTATTGCTATTACATCATTTATATTTTGAAATAACTTTGAATCATTATATATTGATCATATCTAAGTTAAAATAGGATTTAGAGCTTGATTTATTTTGAGATAAATACAATAAAGTTTCTTTATATATTGCATCATTTGTAAAATAAATCTAATGTTTTTTTGTCCTTCCTAACAACAAAAATTTGATCAATCATGAAGTATTTTATTTTATACACATTATATTTTCAATTTAAAAAGCAACTCAGTATTAATGGAAATATTAAATTTCTTTTATACTGTAGGTAATACTATTTTAATATTTAATTTGTATCAGAAATTATTTTATATTTCTTTTTTTTTATTCAAACCAAACTTATATCTAGGGGTGTCGATACTTGGCCCGACTCAAAACCCGATCTTAAACTGACTTGAAAAATTATCTGTTTGTAAGACAGGTTGGGTTTGGATTTTGTTTTCGAACTCGATTCTAAAATTGGGTCTGATTGACCCATAAACCTGAAATTAACCCGAACTGACCCAGACTCCGCCCTCCGCACTCGAACTACACCCTATGCAGCGCGATCACTTGCTCATGAGTTGCGCCCACCCGTAGGCTGCATAGATGAATGCCGCTCACGGACTCTGCTCTCCGCACCACACCCGGACTCCACCCTTCGCACCGCAGCATTGGGTGTACGTCAACCAACCCTCTGTGCCGCACCGTGTTTGAACTCTGCCAGTCAAACCAAATTTGGAATTTGCTCGCAAGCCGCATTGCTCGATCCCGCAGACCCTCGCTGACACCCAAACTCTGCCTCCATCTGCAGGCCTTAGCGCTTGATCACGCCGAGTCTTATTCACGGCCAGACTCCACCCGTAGGACGCAACGCTCCATCTCGCATACCTATTGACAACTAGTTATATTTCGAGTTTACGGGTCGAGTCTGAGTTTGAGTTTTCAACCCATTTTATCAGGTTTGGTTCAATCCATTTGGTCTCAGGTCGATTCAGAATTCGACTTGAATCCGATTTAATCTGTTTTGACAACCCCTACTTACATCTTAGTGGTAAACTTAAATTTTTATTTTTATTTTTTATTTATTTAAGGCGCCTACTTTGACCCTGCTCTGCATCGTCCGTGACTAAAATTATAACTTAACAGACCCAATACTACTCTCCTTGGCCTATTGGTTGAGAGCTTAGATTTCCAACTAAGAGGTCCAAGGTTCGAGTCTTTGTGTATGCGTTGTGTGTGTGATTTTGCCTTAAATGGCCTAAATGTCCCAAAAAAAACAACCCAATACCTTTTCTGTAATAAAACTTTTTCTCCTAAAAAAAAGAAACTGATAGACAGATATTAAAATTAGTAATTAATAATACCCCCGCCAATTTTTTTTTTATTTTATCTCCATCTATCTTCCTTTGCACTTACGAGCTTGCAGTAAACTAAAATCCTGCAAGCCAAATTCTCTTTCTTCAGCAAAGCTAAAAATGGCGATGGTCTTGGCGGCTTTTGTTAAAAATTTGGCTGGGTTGCTCACTGATTATGTCGCGGAAGAGGGGGCCAATCTGCTTGGTGTGAAGGACGTGCTTCAAAAGCTTCAAGAGTAGATGATGAATATCCAATGCTTACTGAAAGATGCTGAAAGGAGGAAGTTTGATAGCTCGTCCATCAAACTCTGGCTTTCTCAGCTCAAGGACGTGATGTACGATACCGATGATATCATTGACCTCTGCAGAATTGAGGGCCATAAGCTGCTAGCTTATCAAAATCCCGAATCAAATATATCTCCTGTATGCTGCAATTTCTCATCTTACTTCTCCTGCCTCACTAGCCTTCCTCTGCATCATAAGATCGGAAATGAAATTAAAAAAATCAACAAGAGGCTCAAACGGATATATAAAAATAGAATCAATTTAATCTAGAGAGTCTCACAGAATCAGAAACCCAAGTTCCAGATGATTCTCGTCTAACTTCCCTAAACCCTAAACCCTAAACCCTAAACTCTAAACCCTAAACCCTAAACCCTAAACCCTAACCCTAAACCCTAAACCCTAAACCCTAAGGGAAGAGAGGTCGACGATGCTGCACGTCGGCTGGTTAATTATTTGGTTGGAGAGAATGATGATGAAAAATGTTTTATTTTTGCTATCACCGGCATGGGCGGGATAGGGAAGACAACTATTGCCCAAAAAGTTTTTAACCATCCAAAAATTCAGACAGTTTTCAATTTGAAGTTGTGGGCTTGTGTTTCACAGAATCAATCAGGAATTGAATCGTTGAAGCAAGTAATAAGTGGAGTTAAAGGGAGAAGCAGGGATGATAGTACTAAAACAGAGCTGCAAGTCATTGTTCATAATTCTATTGCTGCAGGTAATAGCCTTTTTCTTGTTTTGGATAATTTTGTGGACGGCGTCTGTATGGGCTAATTGGCTTGAAACTCCGTTGATTAAATCAAACGCGATTGTCAGAGTCTTAGTCACAACTAGACATGAAAATGTTGTTGTTGATATGAGGGCAGTGCATATTCATCGTGTGGAGCTTCTTTCTGAAGAGAGCAGCCGGGACACACTTTGTAGGAGACTTTTTTCTGCGGAAGAAGTGGAGATAGCTAATGAGCTGAAGGAGCTAGGATTTAAGATAGTTGAAAGATGTAAAATCTATTAAGTACAAAGCATTGCCAGCTAGTTGTAGAAATGAACTTATAGATAACCGATATCAATATACATTTTTCACTTAGTATTTGCTAATGAAGTGAACAGTTTTTTATTATTTTGCTCTATCGAAGAAATTTATTTGGTAGATAATTTAAAATTGTAATGGAGGTCTATCTTATTGATATGGATGATGTCAATGTTATTTATTGCTCTGCTTATGCCTGTTATTTCTATTTTCAAAAATTGGTCATTTTGTGTAGCTGGCACTACAGGAAAAATGTCAAAAACCGGCGGTTTTTGTCGGCGGTTACTATGGCTAAACCGGCGGTTTTCCTGTGTACCGGCGGCTTGGCGGCGGCATTCAGGCTGCCAGTAATAATGGCGTAGGAAACTAATACCGGCGGCCTTTTACCGGCGGTTTATTTAGGCAGCAGTTTTCCGGCGGCTTATACCGCCGGTGACAACCGGATTTTCAACCTGCGGTTTTCCGGCCGTCACGCCGCCGGTTAGTTGACCGACGGCTAACCGGCGGTCATATTATCGACGGTTGTCCGGCGGTTAAAGCGGGCGTCGTGTGTTCGCTAAACCGCCGGTAGACCTCCGGTTAAATTACCGGCGGTACCCGGCGGTTGTAGCCGTCGGTATTACTGACGGTGTACACCGCCAGACGTCCACGGTAACACCGCCGGCGGCCGTCAGTAACTGCCGGTTAAATACCGGCGGCATATCATTGGTCGTCCGGTATCATAGTTTCTGGCGGCCAAACCGCCGGTTGACCGCCGGAAACCTTTAGCACCTGCAAAAAAAATTGACAGCATTCCCTCTATTTGAGGGAGGTTTACCCTAAAATCTAAACCTGCAGAAAGAGCAATACATTTTGGGCAACACGCTGTTATATTCATCAGAACCATAAATTCTAAATACAATCACAAGTTTCAAGTTCACAAGATTACAATCATCAAACATAAAGGTTACAATCACACACAAGTTTGTTCATCATAAGGTTACAATCACAAGTTCACAAGTTCTAAATACAATCATCAAACATAAAAAATATCTAATCCTCAGCTGTATCCTCACTGTCTGCAGATGGCTGCTCCTCTTGCTCCTTCTTCATCTGATTTTCAGTTCACAAGTTTGTTCATCATAAGGTTACAATCACAAGTTCATAATTTTCAGCTCTTGCTCCTCGCTCTCTCTCTCTCTCTCTCTCTCTCTCATATATGATCTCTCTCCCTCTCCCTCTCTTTTCTCTCCCTTAATCTCTCTCTTCCTATCTTGCTCTAACTCAAAGTCACAATCAACAAATTTGATCTACCCTAAAAAAAAAATTAGATCTACCCAAATGATTACAACATTACCTCTTGCATTACTATCTAAATCATCCAAAATATCTCTAACACTTGCAAATGTCTAGTGAGAACAAATAATCAAAGAAAAACCATAAAAAAATACCTTAAAATAGAAATCTAGGGTTGAAAATTGGAAGTCGGCGGTCGATTTGGGGTCAGACTGGGTCGGCAGTCGAACGTCGGAGTTTAACCGTCGGCGGTCGGATCTGGGTCGGCGGTCGGAGAAGCTTTGTCGGCGGCGGTCGGAGAAGCTTCGTCGGTGGCGGTCTGACGAGCGGAGGCGACGGCAGAGCGACCGAAACGAGAGAGAGAAGGAAAGAGTAAGAATGAAATGTGAGTTGCGGGTCTGGTCGTATTAGGGCATTTACCGGCGGTTTTCCGGCGGTCCGGACCGCCGGTCAAAAATAACTTATCAACGGCCTGCACCGGTTCATATTGAAGTCTGGCGGTTTAGGGACCGCCGCTAGTACTGACGGCTTAACGTACCAAAATCATCGGTTAGGCCGCCGTTAAAAGCCGGCGGTCAAACCGCCGGCTACACCGCCGGTAATAGGCATTTTTCATGTAGTGTGGCTTTGTATTTTTCTCAATGGTTGGCGGAAATTCAGATACTACACTTTCTGAGGTATAATTTGTTCATTTCATCCACTGCAGTTTATTTTTAGAATATTGATTAGTACTTTGGTGATTTGTTTTGGGGCAGTTATGTTGGTTATGAGAATTTGTTTAGATATGTGGTTTGGTTATTCTGTATGGAGCTTATTGCACTACAGGAAAAACATCATTTTTCCGGCGGCCATTTTTGTCAGAAAATGGCCAAAATTCGTCAGAAAATTACATTTCCGACGGAAATATTTTTGCCAGTTCCACGCTCGTCGAAAAAGGACTTCCGACGCAAAATAATTTGCCGGAAACATTTCTGACGTATTTTCGATGGATTTTCCGCTGGAAAAATATTTCCTTCGAATTTTTAATGGGCCGGAATGTCAAGAAAAATAAAAAAAATCATGTACAGCCGACCGGCACGCTGCTCAAGGACCCAGCCCGCTCACTTGGTCCGGTGGACACAGCGCAGAAGCCACGGCCGACCTGCCCCGCCCGAGTGGCTAGCCTCCCCAACCCGCCCCCCCCGCCCACGTGAACTGTGGGCCAGGCTGTCCACGTGAACCCTGGACGTGGACCCTTCGGCAGTGTTCGAACGCCGGCCCC